GGGTGGCCGGGCGGGCGCCCGCTGCCCCGACCGGCCCGAGTCCCGGCCCTCCCTCCATCCCGCTGTCAGCCGGCCTCCGCCGCCGCCGCCGCGCAGGTACCCGGTGCAGAGCCCGGGTTTGTTTACGTCCCGGGAGCGCCCCGGGGGTGGCCCGCAGCAGCCCCGCTCTTTTGTGTGCCTGCGCCAGTGGCGCGGAGCTGCCCGTTCGCGTCCTGGGTACCCCGCGGGGGCGCTCCGGGGAAACTTGACGAGGGGCGGCGGGGGCGTCCCGCGCGCTGTGTCTTGGGTCGCGGCGTCCTGGACCCGGAGGAGGCTGCAACTTTCCCTGAGCGGCTGCCTGCGCGGGGGGCGCGCTTCCTTTCCGCCGCGGGTCCGACTGCGCGGCCCTAGTTGCGCGCGCGGGGACTCCCGCATCCCGGGGTGACTCGCCCCGTTTTCTATTCTGGCTCCTTCCTCGGGTTGACCCGGAACGGGGGGCAGGGTCTTGTCCTCTCTGCAGGGTCAGCAGGCATCATGGAGCGCGCGGCTGCTCCCCGCCGAGATTTTTTCTCGGCCCGGGTTCTCGAAAGCAAAGCCACCGGCCCCCCGATAGACTGTGGCGTGCGGGCAAGTGGTTCTGGCGCCGAGCCCCAGGAACGCTATCCGGCGCTTGAGCTGTCGCCGTGCTCAAGGGGTGCGCTGCTGCCTGGCACCCCCCACCCGGAGGAGAGGCGCGTCCTTAGGGTCCGCCCCGCAAATGCCTGCTCCGCGTTCGCGGTGGCTGGACAACCCCGGGACTCTGCCAGGTGGATGTTGTTTGTAGCCGAAGCCAAATTGAAGGTGAGCGGCTCGTGGGCCAGAAGCTCTGTGAACACTGGGGACCCGGGAGGGAGACAGTCATGTGGCTTAAAAGGATCCGGGGCAGCCTTGCGCTCTCAGGGTCCCTGCAGCGTCCTTGGGGAACCGCTGCTGCTCCAGCCTGTAAGGTGTGCACCGAGGTGAACTTGGCTGAACTTTGCTAACCCGGGGACTGCTGATAGTCAGTCACCGACAGCACCTGTGGTAGTAAAGCAGACAACTAGCTACACATGCAGGCTAGTAAGAAATGGAAGTGGATTAGATTAAAACATAAGTAAGTGGACTCTGGCAACTTTAATTGTATGCCGCTGTTTTCTGCCCACTCCTACTTAAAAAAACGATAGAGCAGAGTCATAGTCGTTATGAAATTTCCTCTGATTTCTCGCTTAACTAGGAAGAAGAGTATGTGAAGTATGTATTTCTGATAAGATTAGAACTTAAAGGAGCTTGAGTATTTATTGACTAAAATAGATTACTCCGAAGTGTCTATTGTGTAAATTAGATTCCTGAATGTAATGAACACAGTCAAATGGCATTTTTGATAAATTGGTCTACCCTGTTTTAGTAAAAATAGCTCCTTTTTACCATAATTTAATTCTTGTGCTTACTGTAAAACCTGTTCTGGAGTTTTAAGAGATAAGCCTTAATATTCCCCCACCTCTTGTCTTCCCAAACATGACATCCTAGCTTAATACCAGTTTAGTTTTTTTTTTTGTTTTTTTTTTGTTTTTTTAAGCATCCCGGGAGAACTGTCTGGGAAATAGATTTGGTTTCTAGAGAGTTATTAGATTTTATGGACTCAATATAAACACACCTCCCTTTACCCATTGATTAGCTACTTCTTTGGGGAATCATGAGGACATTTAACTGTGTGACTGTAGGATTTGATTAAGCTTCCCTGGCAGTTTACTTGAATGAATTTTGTGTTGATCTGGAAAACGCAGCAACATCGTACAAAATCCCTTCTCAGAGCAGCACTCTTTTTGCCCAATATCCATTCCCTTTTGGTGGGTAGATAGCACTTTGGCCTTAGATGATTTCCTACTGCTCGGCTGCATGTTTGAAGACTTCATTTGGATACAGAATGTCAAAGTTCAGGTATAAGGCCAGATTAGTCCTTTCTCTGGGTCTTGGGAAGCCTTTGATTTTGGTGTCTGGGAGAGTACACTCTGTTCCCGTAGACAGTAAGTGAGCCGCTGGAACTGCAGTTTGAGCAGGAATTTATTAGTTTCAGACTCTTACACTGAGATAGGGTGCCTGTAGGTCTAGTGTCTACTGTGGCCATTGCCACTTGAAGGCGGGGAGGCAGGGTTCAGCTAGACTGACCAGGTCAGAGACTTCAGTGGGTCTGGATAAGATTGGGCAGTTCTGTACCTCTTCAGTGCCTCAGTGAGTCGTGGTCATGTTCTTGTCTCTCTGCTTCTTGAGTCTTCAAGCCACGAAGCCACTGTGGGGACTTGGAGTTAAAGCCCCAGGAAGAGGGCATCTGGAAATTGTGCTCTATTTGGTTTCCTTTTTAGTCTCCAAGGTTTGCACTATAGAAGTTTCAGTGTATTGGCATTGCTAAGACTAGTTGGACAAGTTTTTATCCTACCCCAGACTTGTAAAGACCAGGCTTTTTTTTTTTTTTTTTAAGCAAGAAAAACACCATTGTATAAATTTATCTTTTAAATACACGTTTGAAAAGAGGACACTTTCTTAAAACAAGCTCATGTAACTCTGTTATGTGATTGTGAAGTTCAGAATATTTTGGGATGGGGCCTGCCAGCCCTGGCTTTTCTTTGCAGCGCTATCCTTGCATAGGGACCTGTTTTCCCCTTTAAGGGTCCTCTGCCACAGTGAACTTTAAAAGGTGACCTCTTTTTCAGTATCAGAAAACAATTTAAGTTGTGTCCAAAGCCTATTTTCTGGTTGCTTCTGTTTCTTCCAGTCATAGAAGTGTATGTGTCACCAGTTGTCTAAGGCTGTTCCCTATAATCTTTTATTTTAATTAAGGTATTGTGTAGTGTCTTCCACTGCTCCTCTTTTTGGTGTCTTAGAGATTGGGAGATATAAAGGGTTCATTATTAATTACTTGAAGTTTTCGCCTGGGTAAAATTGTGTTGTTGTTTTTTTTTAAAGGTAAGTCATTGCAGGAATACAATTAACTACTGCACCTTCTGGTACTGCTGGGTGTAGGGGCCCTTTTGTGTCCCCTGTTTCAGGAAAGTTTGAAACGACCTGCTCTTCTCCAGAATTATTCTTCCCTAATCCTCTGAGCTAATCTTAAAAATGCCAAATGATGACCCTACTGAGCCCATGACCTTTGGTGGCTGTTTAAAATGTCTTCTCTGTTGCTGGAAAAAAAAAAAAAAAAAAATCCACCAGGGTTTATGTAGGAACTGCATGGACACAGTAGTGTGTGCTCTGTGATATTACAGTATGTCTTAGTAACAAGACTCGAAATAGAAAATCCATTTTTGTTTCAGTTCTGAGGATTAGGGAAGAATAATGAAATGAAAAGTGAAATGAAAGAGGGACAAATTTGGGGAAAATTTGTAAATTTTTAAAGGAGAAATCCATTGTACAAAAAATCCTACATAGATTCAGTTTCCAACCCATGTTCCCCTTTTATGTAATTCACACATTCTGTTCATGTACATTTCACATACAGTGTTTGAAAGATGGGTATCTTGTGTGTTATAGTACAAATGGTATATACAGTAACTGAAAATTGTAGTGTACAGGATCATAATATGCTGCTATTTAATACATAACTTAAAAATATAATTGCTCTCCCCATGAAAAGTCTGATTTTTAGTAGTAATCCTTAAAGACAGAAATGTGTTTACCTAGTTCTTGTGTTTTGTCTGAAGCGGAGTTATCACTGCAGAAATAGTTTCAACAGAAATTTCCCTGCCTCTCATTTTTTAATCGTATTTTAACATACTTAAAGTGCTCAAAAACCCCGGAATAATTGTTTTGTGTAAGTAGCAAGTGAACATGTAGTTTAAACACTGAAGCAATGCTGGTATCTAATTTGAAACAGGTGCAGTTCCTGGACTCTTGTATTTTAGTCTTACGATAGCCAAGCATGGGGACACCTTTTACTTGTGGCTACTCATTTTGTGGACACCATTTGTAGGAGGGCCTCAGTCCTTCATTATACCCCACAAATGTTTACCTGGACATTCCAGTAACACTGGGCTTTATAGGACCTGGATGCCTGTGGATGTCTGGACACTGAGAGGATTGTGTATTTGCAGATAATAAGAGTGAAAAAAGAATTTTACTGGCATTATTAAAGGATTTATTACTTGTCTTGTTTAACTTTTATAGCAAAGAAATTGTGAGTCTGTGACCTGATTTAGTAAACATTTATTTTTATTTATTTATTTATTTATTTTTTAACTTTTATTTATTTGTGTGTGTGTGTGTGTGTGTGTGTGTGGCCAGCTCAGCCCACCAGGGGGCGGGGCTGCCTGGCATGTGGTGCTGGGGGATTGAACCGCGGTCCCTGT